CTAAAGCCTTAAAACGATGGAACAAAGAAAAGAAGAGAAGAAAGAAGGAAAGGAAAGGGAAGGGAAGGAAGGAAGGAAACTGCTCAGATCCTGCCTCAGACATTTACTAGCTGTGAGATCTTGTGAACTTCAGTTTCCTCATTTGTAAAATTGGGATAATAATAGTACCTACTTTACAGGGTTATTACAAGGACCAAATAAAATAATGTATGAAGCTCTTTGAAGACATAAAATGCTAGCTATTATTATTACACATAGTTGTAAGTAGATGGTCTAAATTAAGGTGGTGGTTTTTTTTAATCTCTCTCACCTACAACTATCTTCCTCAATGTTGCTTAAAGTTCACTAACAGAAATTCAGAGAGTCAGTGATGTGACTGGAAGGGACATTTGATATCTTCCCATCAAAATCCTTATTTTACAAGTGAGGATATTAACTATTATTTTGTATCAAAGATTACCCTCTCTGTGACTTTTTTAAAATGTATTTAAATAGATCTACTCCTAGAAGTTATAAATCCTTAAGTTGCTAAAAATCTTATTGTGAATAATTTGCTTTTCTCCCCAGTGGGCCCGTGAGAACTTTGAGAGATTGGGGGAAAAAAAATGCTAAAAAGGGGAAAAAGTTTGTTTAAGTCACAATTTTGCCTAGGGTTGGATCTGGGTACTGGCTAATGCCACTCTGTAAAGGTAGTACTGTCTTTCTCAATTTCATGAGATCACAAGTTGATGACTAAGGAATTTAAAAAATAATAATAATAATTTTCAGTGCTTCAGAGGAGGATGGCTTTGTTTTATCTCAACACAATGATTTAGTCAATGAAGAGCTACACTGGGATTCAAAGGACCTGGATTTTCTATTTGCAACACCTTGGTTCTCCATAGGACTTAGAACTAATCGCTCTGTACTTCTTTTTCCCCTCTTTGAAACAAAGTCAATCATTCTTGTTTCCTCTCTTCCAAGAGGTTCTGACAATAAAAGGCAACATATTTATGGAAGCTCTCTGTATCCATTACACTTCATAACATGGGAAGCATCCCCTTTCAAATAACAGAATAGTGCATATCTCTGCATTGGCACCTAGTTTTTTTTCTACTTTCATTTAAACTATCAAAAGCCATTTTTGCATCCTTGCCCTTTGAATACAGAGTGAGGAATGTTACATGAATGGAATGTCTAATCTGAAGAGAGCTTTAGAGTTGCTTTCAAAAAGCTCTTAAGCTTAATTTAGGAACAAAGGATGCTGTGATTGTAACTTGGACCAAAAAAGAAAAGCCATCCTCAGTTCAGCTTTGGATGGGATTTAAAAAAATGTATATTGAGCTTAAAAAATGGAAATGACCATCATGGCTCCCCAAATAGGGAGCACTTTCTGAAAAGCAAAAAGCATGGGAGATAGTGCCAATGAGCTGTATGTCATTTAGTCTCATTAAGGAGCTGTTACCATGCAGATTGTTGATAGGATTAGATGTCACAGCAGTTCTAGCTTTCATCACAACCTGTCATGTCAAATTCTTTAATTGCAGATATCAAATCTAGTGCACTCTGATATCTTCTTGATTTACTCTATGTTCATGTCAACAGTTGAAGAACCTGTATTTGGACATCTTGCCCTAGGAAATAGCATAGCTCAACCAGAAATTCAACAGAACAAAAGTCTGTGAAAAAGGTGACATCAATTAAAATCCTTTTGATCTGTGCTTCTATTGAACTGGCTGAGATTTTATTCATCCAGACTAGAAGGAACTTTGTTATGGGACGCTGCTTTCGCCTGATGAGAGTGGATGTGATGTGTTGGACCATGGCTCACCTCCTCTACAGGTGGGCAGAGAATCACCAAGCTCTACTTTCTCACCACACAGGTTCACTGAGTGGATGAAACCAGATGGAAAGAAAGCAAGACCACGTTGGACATTACTGTGATGGCTTTTGGCTCTCTTTCATTGACCCAAGAAGGGTGCAGTAATCCTGTTCCTCTAACACTGAACAGATAGCTCAGTGTGGATTAGTTGAATCAACTTGATCCAGATAAGACAGAAGAGATGCTGACAGAAAAAAGAAAAATGTGGAGTGTAAGGGACAAATTACTTCAGTCCTTCAACCAAAACTCACCCTAGTGAGGGAGCTCTATCCTTGACAGCTAATTCCCAGGACCTCAGTTGTAACTGAAGTATGTGCTTTGGAATCACATACATTGATAGGAAATTTTCAGTCCTTATGATTAGTAAGAGTCTTTTTCAAAATTCCCTTTTCCTTTGCAATCTTTTTTTTTTTACATTAAGTTATTTTAGGCAGCTAAGTGAGATAATGGATAGAGTGTTGAACTTGGAATCAGGAAGACCTGAATTAAAATCTCACCTCTGACACTTATTAACCACTGATCATGGGCAAGTCATCTAACCTACTTTTCAGCCTCAGTTTCCTCATCTGAAAAATGGGGATTATGATCACATCTACCTCCCAGAGCTCTTGACAGGATCAAATGAGATGTGCTTTGCAAACTTTAAGGTGCTAGATATTGCTACTTGTTTTAATTCAATATGGTACTTTTTAGTACCCCTCAAATGACATCAGCTCCTCAAAGACATGGTACAGCAGAAAAATGAGTGGCTCTGGCACAGGACCTGCATTCGGATCCCACTTCTGACCCAGAATCTGTGTGACCTTGCAAGAGTAACATAACCTCTGTGAATTCCCATTTTGCAAAACAATGGGTTGGGGTTATATAGCCTCTGAAATTCCTTTCACGTCATCATCTATGGTACTAGGAGATTTCAAATAGCGGTAAGTCCTACTCCTAAAGGAAAAAAGAGTAAATCTCTTCCTCTTGGAAGGTGTATTAAATCAGTTCTCTTAGAGAGCATCGAGTTTAGGCTCTCTTCAGATTTGGCATTCCATTCATGTAACATAGAGCATAGAGAAACACTCCTCTGAAGTCATACACCATCCAAAGAAAGTTGGTATTGTTGGTAGTGTAGACATTTTTGGTTTTTTGATTGGTTGGTTCAGTTTGTTTTTTAGCAGAACAAACATTACTAAGATGGTTTAATAGTTTCTTTTCAAGCTGATGCTGACATATTTCTACATCTACAAAGTTATTAGGGCTAATATTGGTAAATTTTAAATGAAAAATTAAGAGAGAGTATAAAGCAAGGAAAATCAACAGGTTGGGTTTTATTCCTAAAAAAATAAGGGCATAGAATAACTCAAAGGAGAAAAATAAACATCCTTACAAACTGTCAACATATTTATGACATATAATAGGACAACAGCAAAATTCATTTTAGCACATTGCCAGTTCTATGAGACAGTGTGACCTATAGAGTGCCATTAGATAGCGATAGCTGGTAGAGATCTTTGAAGTTCATAACATACCTAATTTGTTGAGCCTCACAAAGTGCCTAGGAGAAAAACTGTATTATCATACCCATCTTATAGATGAAGAGAGGTCATAGGACTGGTTCATGGACACACAGCCAGTAAGTATTAGAGGCTAGAATTAGGCCCAAATCCTCCTGACTGTCAGGAGATACATCACTCAAGGCAATATATCATCCTACCTAATTTAATTCCCCTACCCATTCTCATTTTTCCATGGTTATATAGCTAGTAAGCATCAGAGGTAGCCTTCAAATTCTGGTCTCTCTGATTCCAAGTCTAGCATTCTATCCACTACATGAAGACACATGAAATAAATGTCAGTCACTAAACCAAGAACAAGAATGTTCTGCATAGGCAGAATGCAGAATGCATAAGCCTAGGACTCCAGTCGTTTAGGCCAAGGACACAACGCTATGTCCTACTCCATGACACAGAAGCTCATCTGGTTTCACAAAAAGGTCATGCAAAATGGCATTCAATTAGTGAGGCCCATCCTAGGTCTTTTGTTCACCACAGAGTATCCAGGACATGCTGGACATCTTGCTCCATTAATTAAGAGCTCCATTAATTCAAAGATCTGCATTAGCGATGACTGATAAAGTGCAATGTGTTCCCTCACAGTTCCCACCACATCCTGTGATAGCCCAGTGGCTCCATGGCAACCCCACCCCCCATACCTGTATCACTCAACAGCAGCCTCCATGGCTTCCCACTCTAGTTCTGATATGACAAAGTGTCAGAGCTAAAATTAAAATGAAACTCTTTAAAGCATTATTGTATTCAAATAAATCTAGAAGCAAAATTGTAACTATTCCCTACAGGGAAAGAGATTGTCTCCATTTTTAACAGAAGACGTTGATAAGAATCAAAGCTGGAGTCAGGATGTTGCTTGGCAATAAGTCTAATAGAAGGAAGGAAAAGTTGAAGGGTCTCTTAGGGTCCTTAAGAGAATTAACAAATCAAATTGATAACTGTTCAAGCAATATTAAAAATTTTTCTTTTACTTCATTTCAAAATGCATATACTCTCCTTTTGAGGGGCAAGCTGGGTCAGTCCGGCCAAGTGGAGACTAAATATGAGAGAATGAAAAGGAAGGAATGCTTAAATAGATGAGATAGGAAAACATCATAGGACACACAAAATCCTCAGGAACGCTTTCCTTCAAGTCAAAAGTACTTCTAACCCAGATCAATCAATGGAAACATGAAATTGAATGGGAGACCTTTTTTTTTCATCAGCATTTAGAAGAAGAAAGTATTTTAATACTCATTCATAAATCCATTTTTTTGTTTTTTATTTAGAAGAATTAAGTAAAAATAGCTTCTTATTCTTCATTTGTGCACATAACTCCAAGAGAACTTCCTTCTCTTCTTGGAGTTAATGATTAACTAGTCTGATTACAATAAACAAAACCAACAACTATATATACATATACATATATATATATATACATATATATATACATATATATGTGTGTATATATGTGTATATATATATATATATATATATTATATATATATATATATATATATATATATATATATACATATATACACTTCATCAAGTGGACAAGATGAAGATCCCACAGTTGTTACTAAAATACAAATATTGTTGCTTACCTGAATGGCCCTGACATTGGAAGCTGGCTGTTTCGACATATTCAAGAAGTCTTATCCCTGAAAAACAAGTAAGAAAATGTTAGAGCCTGAAGCATTCAGATTCTCTGCCTTGATAAATTAGAATTTAACTCATGATTCTACTGGATAGTCATACCTTTCACTAGTCATATATCCTTTCAGTCTCAGTTTTCAAAGTTACTTAGCTATTCCCCTTTCAAATACCTAAGGGAGAGGGAACACCTGAGCTTTCCTGATAAATCATTCATGGGAAGAAATGATGATATCCCTTGCACCTAACGTTAATGAAAGGCAATCAGAAACTCGAAAGGTGCTATCATCTCCTTGCCCCATCCCACCCATATGAGAAGAGCAAAGAAATACCATTGTGGGCGTTGACCCTCCATTGTTATCCATCACTGTGGCAAGCTTTCCACTTCAAACTGGACTTTGTAGATGAGGAAAGTGACCTAGAGAAACGCTCCTCTGAACTTTTCTGGTGCTTGTTGTCTAAACCATCCCTTTTGCACTCTTGTGCTGCCCTTTATTACTAGTTATAATTCTATATGCTTGCTCTACTCACCCACCCCCATTAGATTGTGAGCTTTTTAAGGGTTTTGCCATTTTATTTCTGCATCCTCGATGTCTAGTACAATGCCCTGTACATAGTAGGTGCTTATTAAATGCTTATTTGGATCATAAGATCATAATGGGCAGCTAGGTGGCACAGTGGATAGAGTACCAACACTAGACTCAGGAGGACCTGAGTTCGAATCCGGCATCACACACTAACTAGCTGTGTGATCCTGTGCAAGTCATTTAACCCTGTTTGCTTCAGTTTCCTCATCTGTAAAATGAGCTGGAGAAGGAGATGGTAAACCATTCCAGTACCTTTGCCAAGAAAACTCCAAGTAAGGCCATAAAGAGTCAGACACAAATGAAGCAACAGAACAACACAATCTATAATTGGAAGGGACCTTAGTGGCCAACTAATCCAAACCTCTGATTTTATAGATGAAGAATCTGAGGTCAGGGAGGTTAAGTGACTTGCCCACTTAAGAAAATGCTTGTGTATTTTTGAATTGTGTGAGTCTCTTTATCTACTGGGTTGACATCTCCTTGAGGGCTAGACCCTGTATCTTACTTGTTTCTTTGTGTTTACCATAGTACTCATCACAGGACTTTACACATAATACATAGGAACTCATGGGCTTTAGTGCCAGAAGATACCCTAGAGACTGTCGAGTCTGTACCCTTAAGTTTACAGTTCAAGAAACTGAGATCCTCAAGAAATGTTGGTTGATTACTTTGGAATTTTGACAAACATTGTTTCTTTTCTTTCAGCGAGAAATTACTCTTAAAGGATATGGTAATAATCTCATATTTGAATGTCATTCAAGGCTTTTAAAACATTATCCGCATAATCCTGTGAGATGGGGAACGAGTATAATAATCTTCATTACAAATGAAAAAATTGAGGTTGAAAGGTTATGTGGCTTGCTTAGAGTCACAAGGCTAGTAATTGCCCAATGCTGAGTAGCCAAACTCAGGCCTCCTGCCTTCAAGTCCAATTTTTTTCTTACTATGCCTTGTAGCATCTCAATTCAATTGAATAATGTTACATCATTTGTTCAGATCTCTGATATCTGGAAAGTTCTTTCTTTGTATAGGATTTTCTCCACTCCAGTCCACAGAGTGTTGGGAAATAGCACTGGGTTTGCAGTAAGATAGATTTAGACTCTACTTGTGCCCTTAATAACTATGTCATATGGGAAAGGGGTGAGCAAAGAAAGAGGGGGAAAAAAGGCTTGCTAAATTAAAAAAAAATGTTAATTGAAAAATAGATAAAGGTAGAGTCACTCACTTGAGGAAGCTCCCTCTGAACCAGGAAGAAATGTCAGATAGGAGAGATGCTATCTCTCTTCCACTTCCTGCTTGAAGGTGGCAAACCTCAGAATCAAGATTCTAGGAAAAGGCTTCTGCCAATTTTAGGCTTAAGACCCTTTGCCTTAGCTGAAAAGAGCACTGTAACACCTAGTCAAGTTGGAGTCTGGAAGGGATGAAGATGGAAGCTATCCATCGAAGAGTGAACCTAGGGTGTCCAGAGGATTGACCTGTCCGGCACACCCTCTGAAGAGAACCTAGTAGCTGAATGACCCGCCTGGTTCAGTCAGGTAGCAGCCAAGTCTAGCCAGAAGCCAATCCAGCAGCTGAGTGACCTACTTGGCACAAACAGCACATTGGCCATCCAGCCTCCCCAGCAAGATGAGCTCCCCATCTGGAAGGAATGCCATGCCTTGCAAGAAGCCAGTCCCCCTGAACAATGGAGCATCACTGATACCACACTCTGAAGGAAAATTCATGAGGTTCAGCTGGAGAAGAAAAGAACATCAAAGCTCTGCTCATAAAGATGTGGAGATTTTCTACACACTTGTTCTCTCCATATGTGCCTTAATCCCATTGCGCCAGAAAAGACCCTGATGTTGGAAAATATTGAAGGCAAAAGGAAAAGGGGATAGCAGAGGATAAGATGTATAGATAGTGTCATGGAAACAACTAACATAAGCTTGGACAGACTTCGAGAGATAATGGAAGACAGCACTGGATGCATGGGGGTCGCAAAGAGTTAGACACGACTGAATGACTAAATAACAACAACTTTGTCTATGTTAACTCTCCCCACATAGACTCTGTGTGTATTTGTGAGAAAACATACCCCAGGTTTTGAAGGGAAATTCTTTGTAACTATTGTGCTTGCTATGCCTTCTCTAAGATAAATAAATAAATAAATGCAGCATTTTGGGGAAGGTCACTTAGTTTCAGAGTCTCTGTTTCCTCATCTATAAAATGAGGTTAATAATACTGACCTCCAACACCCTCAAAGGGTTGCTACGGAACCAAGTGAAATAATTTCAGCATCTCCACTCATTGAAATCTTCCTTTAAATCTCAGCTCAGGCACTACTTTCTGAAGAAAATCTTCCCCAATACCCCAGCTCCCTCCTTCTCCATCTTTCCTCTTCTCTGATGAACTTTTCCTACTCAGTTAAGATTTAGAACTGGATAAGGGCCTTTGGGGTCATATAGTACAGCTCCCTAATTTTTAGGTCCTCAGAGTTGAAGTGACTTGCCTAAAATCACACAGTAGTAAATTGCAGAGCTGAGATTTATACATATACGTTCACACAGTTTCTTAATTCAGAGCTAGTGCTCTTTCTAATATTCCTTGTCATACTGATCACATTCTAATTTATATTCAAGTGATTTGTGTGCATGTTTTATCCCTCCTTTCTTAGATTTTTATCCCCCCCTTCTTAGCACTTTGAGGGCAGGAACTGTTAGTCATTTTATCTTTGCATCCTGAGTGTCTAGTACAGTGTCTTGCACATCGTGGGTTGTTAAATGCTTGTGGACATCATAGGACCATAAGAGTACCATAAATCTAAAGCTGGAAGGGCCATCAGAAGCCATCTAGTCCAATCTCTTCATTTTATAGATGAGGAATCTCAGGCCCAGGGAGAAGTGACTTGCCCAAGCTTATGTAGTCAGAGGTAGCTTGGATCTTCATTTTGCATCCCTGTAACACTCTTTATATCCTTGCTAATAGTGGGAGGTTCATAAATGTTTCTTGAATTTAATTTATGTGTAGTAATAGCTATCCCATAGAGCATGTATACAGATGGGCCAGGGTCCCGGGCCCTTTGGTGAACTTCATGTGCCCTGGCCTGTTGATAAAGGGCCTACATGACTAATGGCTACTGTTTGGCCTCTTGATATCCCTGGCACAAAATACCAAAACCAATTGGTGAATCAGCCAGAAAAAGCCAGAAGCTTTAAGAGGAGAGGACAACCTCTGCCTCTGTTTCTCTTACTCTCCTTCGAGTGTGTCCCCTGAGACTCTGCCAGCTTTCCCTTGGATTTCTAAAAGGGAGGGTGTGGGGAGGAGATTTTTCTCCCATCCCTCTCCATAGCAGCAGCAATGGCAGTCACACATTGAACAGTGGGAATATGTGCTTGCCTAAGTTAGCCCAGGACTGGATTCTTGGCTGCCTCTTCTGCTTTATGTTTCTTTCTCTGAGCATAGGTCACTAAATAACAATACGAAGAAATAGTTGTTTCCAGCCTCAGTGATACCTCATGAGTGCAAGAGATTCAGAGGCTTGAACTGGATGCTAGTTGACCAGTGGGAAGAGAGACTTGAATATTTATCTTTCCTGAAAAAGAAGATGACCACTGTCTGGGGAATGAGCCATGCCCTGGCTGGCCAAAAGAAGTGGACCTTGGGTTGTTTTCTCAAATACTATGGACTGAAATAAAAGTGAAATCCCACAAGTGCAGTCCCACAAGTCTCCTGAGAGCCTTTCCTACATCAAGAAAATTTGATAGAGGTAATGGGTTATAGTGTGTTTTAAAGCGGTTGTTAATGCTTATGAGTCTTTTGTGTTTTAAGAATTTCTTTTGAGGTAGAAGAAATAAATGTCGATTCAATACCTGCTTTCTACTACTTTATACAGTGAATACCTCCCAAGAAGGGACCCTGTTAATCCCCTTTAGGAAAAATCCTGGATATGAAACCATACCTAAACTCTTTTTAAGAGCTTTTCCCTGACACTCTGCAGTGGAGGTACAATGAGCCAGGCTGTCCCAGGACTGAATCTGGGTCTGCTTGAGTTCAGAACTTAAGCCCCTTATGAGTATCTCACCTCTCCTACACACTTCCCCAAACCCCAGCTGTATCATCTACATTGTAGATAATGAAGTTCGTATAAATATAACTATCCTAACTTGGTCCAAGTGTTCTGGAAAATAATTTCTAGTAATGTGAGAAAAGTCACTAAATTCTTAAAATCATTGATCCAATGATCTCATTACTGGGCATATGCCCCAAGGCTGTCAAGGACAGAGGGGGAAAAAATCACACATTTACTAAAACAGTCACATCAGTACCTTTTGTGTTAGCAAAAAGCTTGAAATGAAGTGGGTTCCAATATATTGGAAACTGGCCAAATAAACTCTGTGATCTGAATGTAATGAAATAATATTGAACTTTAAGAAATGGCT